CAGGGGGAGACAAGTCTGTGTGTCTCCATCCCAGAGAGGGTCGGGGAGAGAATGAAAAGATGGCCATCAGTGAGGAGGGGAACAGATAGCCTTCCTTTCCCCAGGGCTTTTCAATCATCCCAGCTAGCTCAAGGACACAGGGCGGGACGGCTAACCTGCCAAACTGACCGCCTGCACCAGGACTGAAGGAAAGGAGCCGGAAGCTAGAAAGCAGGCAGGAGCTAAAGGAGGCTTAATAACTGGGCTCCCTGCCTCCTCCCTTCACACCAGGAGGGGAGCGGAAGCCGGGTAGGGAGAGGAGGAGGGAAAAACAGGACCTGGAAAGACCACAGAGGGGAGGAGGCGTGGCCAGTGGCCTTCCCGGGGGAAACCTGCCCTGTGTGGTTTCAGAGCTTGCCAAGAGCCCCGCCCCCTGCAAACTTCAGAACCCAAGCGATGCCAACTCACCTGTCCACTAGAGAATATGAACACGAGAGCTGCCCCAGCTGCCGTCAGCCCCCAGGTGAAGAAGGTCCCCAGCAACGCCTGGAGCACAGAGTTGTGGCCTTGGAGCATGCTGGATACAGCTGTGTGCAGAGGAGCAAGAAGGGGGTCAGCCGCCAGCGGTGCCTTTCAGGGACACCTGCACGTGCTGAGGTGTCCTGACACCCTCCACCTGAGCCGGCCCACGATCTGGCTTGGTGCTATGCACCTTTCCGCCCCGCCATCCCTCGGCGGCCTCAACGACCCGGCACAGACCCGGCCTCTTCGTCCAGCCCCACACATATCAGAAGTCATCTAACCCTGCACGCACAGACCTGGGGACGCCTAGGGAGACGCCAGAGGAGCCCACGGAAGAGCTTAGGACATTGGGGAGATAGTTTCAAAGAGAAGAAGTTCATAAAATGTGGATTATTCAGCGGGGAGGAAGAGAGCACGGGGAGGGTCTGATTACAGCCTTCTGGCACATCCTGCCTACTCCGGCTCCCCTTGCCCAGCATCGGTTCTCTCTCCTCCAAATACAGGTGACTCAGATTCCCTCTTGAAGCTCTCCCACCTAAGTCCTGACCAAACCTTCAATGGCTCCCCATGGCCTGCCAAGGGCATACCCCACCGACTCTTTTACCACTACCCGCCCCCCACCCCAAACTCCCGCTCAACTAGTCATTTGTGGCACCTTCGGCAAGTCCTGCCTCCAAGTCACTCTTCATCGGGTTCCCTCCCAGAATGCCTTCCTTCCCTCGTTCCAGCCAGCAGGCCCAGAGCACCTTCTAACGCCAACTTCGACCCCTCTCCACACCTGTCTCCATGCACACCTGCGGTGCTTTCTTTGTATGGACTCACCTCCTATATCTTTTACATCATTAGTTGCTTAAGAACAGGGATGATACCTTTTCACACCTGGCACCCCTATGAAATGGGGCTTCCTGGCATCCAAAAAATACGTGTATTGAAAAGGGCCAGCTTATGGGGCGCCTGGGTGGCTCAGTCGGTTGAGCGTCCGACTTCAGCTCAGGTCATGATCTCACGGTCTGTGAGTTCGAGCCCCGCATCGGGCTCTGTGCTGATGGCTCAGAGCCTGGAGCCTGCTTCCAATTCTGTGTCTCCCTCTCTCTCTCTGCCCCTTCCCTGCTCATGCTCTGTCTCTCTCTGTCTCAAAAATAAATTAAAAACTTAAGAAAAAAAAAATTAAAAAAAAAAAAAGAAAGGGGCCAGCTTACCTTGATGGGACACTCAGCAAGGACAAGGAGAGGGAGCTAGAAGAGGGAGCATTTCCCTGTCAACTGAGCACACCGGCAATGAAACGGAACTCACACTACTGCCCACCAAGGAAGTAAAGGGAAGTACCATTCCTTCTTGTTTCCGCTCAGCGGACCTCCTCTAGACTTGAACACGTTTTAAGTTCTAGCTCTGACACGATAGGGGATCAGAGTCTTGCTGTGGAAAGTTACAAGGCAGAGAAACCCATTTGTTGAAAAGCCCCGTGTTCCGGTACACAAACATCAGGGCTCACAGCCTCATCTCAAAGGGCTCATTCAACTGCCCACCGGTCTTCCAGCTCCCACAGGGCTGGACACGACCCCACGGGGCTCAGCCCAGCCAGGTCCCAGAGCTCTGTGAGCGCGGACCAAGAGCTAAAGACGCTGACTCTGTTAACCCCGTAAGGAAACCGTGGCAGAGGGTGGACGGGGCCCTTGTGCCAAGGGGCTCAGCAACGTGGATAGGACTCCAACCTGGGAAGGCTGTGGGTCCCCAGGTGAGCCCAGATGAGCCCAAGCCCAGCTCCCTTGCCAGGAAACCTCTAAGAGAAACAGCGTCTATGGATTCAGACCGTGTCTAAATAAAAACTCAGGAAAGGGAGTGCCCCCAAGAAAGAAAAAATAATATATTTTTTAAAAAACCCACCCATTTACATACTTCATCATGTTAGGTCCCCCTAAAATGAGTGGTTTGTGTTTCTCTGTCAACCAAGACATCTGGATCATTACCCCCCCAACCTTCTATTTCTGGCTGCTTGTGG